GACGGAGTAGAAGGAAAGCACGACGGCGACGACGACGACGACGACGACGATGGGAGAAGGGAAGATTTTCTTTCTGAAGTATCTAAACGAGCAACGCGCACGAAGAGAGTTAGAGATGGGACAGGGGTAGGTGGAAAAGGACGAGGGTTGAGGTAGGTTGGGTGGGTGCTGGTAGAAGCTTTCGAGACAAACGGCCGTAAGTTGTTGGCGTTGGCTGTCGGGGTGCATGGAGGGGTGTAAAGGGGGTAGTGGAAGTACCTAGTTGCACTACTACTATCATCCCTACGATTACTAACACACATACACTCAACTACATACAAGGAAGAGAACGAAGGTCGGTGGAAGAAGGCAGCAAACGTAAGGGGGTAAGACGAAGTTGTGCACCGGTGTAAGAGGAGAACCGAGGTAAAGGGGAAGAGAGGACAAGTAATTTCCTTGGAGGAGGCGTGAGGTGCATGCCGAAGAGTGAAAGAGAGAGAGAATAGGGGTGGCTTTCGAAGGGTTGGGTTGGGCTGACTGGCTGGCTGGCTGCGCCGTGTAAAGAGGTGAAGGGGGTGGGTGGTCCAAACTAAACTAAATAATATTGATGGCCAACGGAAATTGAAAGCCGTTAAGGTCTTCGCTCGATGTGAACTGCGAAAACGCGGCGCGCGGAACCCTCAGTAGAACGAAACGCCGTTGGTGCATAAATAAGACGACGTTGGTATTAGGATTAGGTCAATGCCTTTCAATGGTGAATTCATGAATATGATTTTAGTACGCGAGTAGGAAAACGTATTATTTTTATTTTATTATATTTTATTTCTTCACACAATAAATATCATCGATTCTTTGCTACCATGAAAAATGATAAACCTTGAAATGTTTATACTTATCATAAGCTGACTTAATGACATTATCTTCAGTTATTTTTTTAAATCCATGAACTGGCATAATATTTTTTTTAAATAAGCTTACAGTAAGGCAGAATAAAAAAAGGGGGATCGTTTTTTAAGGGTCAAGTGTATACGTGCGTAAGTACTTACATACTTACTTACTTACAATGATGCGAAAAGGAAGGAAGGTGTGGGGAGGGGGAGAAGGAAAAAAGTCTTCCCATACGGCTTTTCTCCAAGTGGTTTCGTAGAAACACCAAAAGTTTTGCGGTACAAGCCTCGAATCGTTGGTTCATGCAAATTCGACGTGGATGTATAGTACAAATGCTGAAAAATGGCCGGCTTAAAATATGCGAGAGTGTACCGGCGGCGATAGGTAAAGTTCTCGCAGCAATGCGCGTAATAAGCCTTTCCGATGTGTTTCAAAACCTTACCGTAGGACTCCTCTCTCTTTCTATTTTTTTTTTTACGCGTTCTTTAATACACCCATATTTCGTTCGTTCAATATTTTACATTACTGCTATTATCTGCAAAGGGTTTTCGAGAAAGAAACCGCTGATATTTTTTAGTTAAACAAATTCAAATGAGTTCCAGTGTTGTAGAAATCCTAAAAATTGTTAAAACAAATGTAATTTTTAAAATTACTGTTGTAGAATGTCCAATGTAACTGTTATACACACACAATTCTTCGTACGATATCAAATTCTCCTGACAAAGATTACCATTTTATTTCGTCTATCTAACCGTGTAGTAGTAGTAGTAGGAAGTTATAAGTAGGAAGGAGACTCCGAGGGAATGGATTTACGGATGCCTTTCTATCGATATTACCTTGTCCGATATATTCGTATCGCAGTCGTAGCAAACTCACTCACTTTCCTTTACGCTTATCGGTGGTAGCCACGTTCGAGGATGGAAATACGTCGATTAATCTTCCAACCTCGAGAGCGATTGTATCGATACGCGTAAAACAACTCTCGAGACGCAAACCATCCATACGTATACACTCACACATGCTTATCTATATATATATACATATATAGAGATATATTTGAGGGAGGTAAGAAGAGGAACGGCTTTAATTTCGAAGGGTCGTTATCGGAACGGGTGGATATCCATCGGGCCTGCTACGTCACGAGGCATCGCGAAATTTACGGGTCGATGGATGCATCTTTCCCAGGATGCATCGAGAAAGAGAAATATCGAGTGAGACATAGAGAGAGAAAGAGAGAGAGAGAGAGAGAGAGAATTTTCAAGATCTCAAAGAAGGATCATTCATTCGAGATATCGTTTTGGTGTGGTGCGCGCAACGATGAAAAGAGAGAAATCTCGCCTTGGCTTCGTTATCCTGACAATGGCCGATGCCGAGAATCCAAAGAGCACTTCCTCGTTCCAACCTTTCTAACGCCTTAGACTTTCAACCCCTAACTCCTTCTACCCCATACCATTTTTCCTTTTCTTTTTCTTTTCGAGATTCTCGACTATCCGAAATCATATACGCTCGTTCAACGATGCAGGGGGTTTAGGGAGGGTAAGGGGTTCTCCATTAACGCGCAACTCCTTCTTTTTCTTCTTCTTCTTCTTCTTCTTGCACCCAACTCAACGGCGCACCGGCAACCAGGAAGCAACCAACCAACGACCGGCCGCCGATGCACGCATAATAGCGGCAAAGCCATGCTGCTATAAAGCGGTACCCGGTCATAAAGGCCTTCTCCATCTCTCTCTCTCTTCTTCAATCTGTGAACGCGAAAGAGGAAAAGCAGAAATCGGAATGAGAATACACCCCACCCACTATTCCTTTCGTAGATTTTCTCTCCTTTTTCTCTTTTTCTTTTCTAACCCTCAACCTTCTTCTTCTCCTCATCATCTTCTTCTTCCTCTATTTCAGTTCTTGTTCTTTTTTTTTTATTTCTTTTACGTTTTGCAATCGTCCCACGAGATAGATAAAGAGAAAGAAGACGAGAATGAAGCTTCAAGGAATTTCTCGAGGTTACGTGAAAGAAAAAACTCTCCCACTGCCCTCCCTCCTCCCTCTCTCTCTCTCTCTCTGTAGAGGAACTTGGACTAGGGCTGAAAGTGCGGGGAGGAGCTGAGAATAGGAAACGAGTTGTGCAGAGATAAAAAAAAGAAAGACAAAAAAAAAGGGGGAAGAAAGAAGATTGAGAAAAAAAAAGACAACACAAGGGAATTCTTGATCTCTTAGCACGCCGACGCTTTTAATTCACGAAACGCGCGCTCGTCTCTTTTAATCGCACCTCCCATCAACCCCTCCTTCTCCTCCTTACACCTCATCCTTGTACCCTCAATTTTTACATTCCCACCCTTTCCAGTGACTCATTTATTTATATATCTTGAACTTTTTCTTCTTCTCCCCTAACCCTCATCTGCCTTCCCACTCTTTACCACATATTTTTCTCCCTTTATATATATGTGGTATTTTTTGTATTTTGCTTTCCCGTTAGACAGACATCTTTGGGGTTGGTTGGTGGCTTTGTACTAGAACGGTATTAGAATCTTTGATGTAGAATAAAAGAAGGGTTTGAGGGTGAATGGTTGTAGAGGAGACGATAAAATCGTTCGATTAAATATAAATCAGTAGGATTGGTGGGTTCGTTCAAAGGAATTCCTGGGTACGTCTCCCTTCTTCTTCTTCTTCTTCTCTCTCTCTCTCTTTCTCTCTCTATTTCTGTGACGATAAATTATACGAATCGGAGAACCACTTTGCGCTTATACATTATGTAAGAAGGGCATGATATTTGAAGACGGTCGAGACTTCGAAAATGATGAGATAACATCTGGGGGGATTACCCAGTGCTTTCTGTTAATCGAATAATCCACTCTAGGTGATATCCAACGTCACTTAAACTTATAACTTAACAATTGTGTAATCCTACAAAGTTCAAGATATTTAACAACGAACGATTTCTTGTTAGTGGTCGTGCATTTCATTTTTTATTTCTATCTCATAGTTTATATGAAAAGTTTCTAATTTGTGTAATCAGTGTTCTGTATATTCTGTAAATAATACTTGGAAACCCCTTCGTTCCAATTTGTTTGTCGTTTAAATGCATGACATAGGAAAGTTAAGAAGTTGGGTAGTCCTTTTTTTTTTTTTTTCATGTTGTAAGTGGGAAGTATGGGGGTTCAGAAGAGGAATTCGAAATAAAAGGAAGAGGATTGGTAGTCGATGGCTAGCAGCCAATGCCGGGAAAACAAAACCAACGAGAACTAGAAGAAGGAAGGAAGGAAGGAAGGAAGGAAGGAAAAGGGAATTTTCTGTCCTGTGGATTTTCCCTAGACGAAATCCAAGGACCGAGTTACGAGAGTCTTATATTTCAATTTGTCGAGTCCGGCATAAAATCGCGTTTTACGAGTCGTCGTCGTTCGTGTTTCCAAAACACCCCTCAACAGCCCTCTACGTCGATCTTTCCACGAATCATGGATGGATCCTCGTGACCAATTTTTTCTACTACGATTAAACGTTCCGGATTTCGTATTCTATCTTTTTTTATTTTTCAATTTGTCGACAAAATTAGAAGATAATGTTCGAAATTATTAACACCAAGGATTGTTTTATTTAAATATTTCATAATTAAATATATACAAATAATTAATTGTAAGTTAATGAATAAAAAAAAAAAAATTAAAAACAAAAGTATTATTCGATGAAGGGAGAAATTAGAATAAGAAATCAAAAAAAAGAAAGGGATGCAAAGTATAATAGTAGGTAGGGATAGTTTAGCAAGAATGAGATAAAAAGGTACAGACAAAAAGAGAGAGAAAAAGAAAGAGAGAAGAGATAAGGGGATGAAGAGGTGGGTGGTAGACAAAGACTCGAAAAGTAGGAGACGAACGTAAAGTGTCCTGAAGGAGAACGGGAAGAATGATAGGAACGGAAAAAGAGAGAACAAGAATGAGAGAGAGAGAGAGAGAGAGAGAGAGAGAGAGAAGGAAGGCGTTGGTGCATGCGCAAGAATTTCACACGTGAGCCCGCGAACCCGCGATAGGGTCGCCTTTAGCGCGAGACTTCCTGGTGTTCAGTGTCGTGCGCGGTTTCGTACGCGACGCTTCGTCGTTGTGTTTATCGTCGTCGTCGTCGTCGTCGTCGTCATCGTCGTCGTCGTCGTCGTTGTCATCATCGTTGTTGTAAATTATTATAGTTAGTTTAATAGTTTATCTATAATAATCCATGGTTATTCTTCGTATTTTATTTAAACTACAATAACAATAATTTACAATAAACATTCGATAACCTATTCGTATAATAATTTAAATAATTTTTTGTTATTGGATTATACGGAAAATAATTATTCTATTTTAATTAAAAAAAATTAATTTCTAATATAAAATATAAATATGTCGAAAAAAGTGATCTACATTTTAAATAATGAGACTCGTATAATTTTTTTTACATATATGATGACATACTTTGTTCTTTGAAAAAGTCAAGTTTTTTGTTGTTTATCAAATGATCATTAATTTATTAATTTAGTTTATTTTGGTTAGTGATGCGAAGCTTTGCCAAAGAAGAAATCTTTTGTAAAAGGAGAAATAATAAAAGTGATCATCGAGAAAGGCGATGGATGAAGTTGGAAGAAGAAAAAGAATAAGAAAATAGGATCTTATTCTTTTTGTGTAATTATATTCCCTCCAGAAGGTGTGTGCTTTCTAAATCATCCTAAAAAAAAAAAAGATAAAAGAAAAAGGGGCTATGAAATTTAGTAATTCTCTCTCTCTAGGAAGAAAATTTTCAAAAAAAAAAAAGAAAAATATCCAACGAGTATACGACGTGAATAAAAGCGTGAATATTAGGATTTAATATTTTCCTTTTGTCATTTTCAAAAACGGATATAAATATATACATACATACATGTATTTATAAAAGTGTGTTGTTTTTAGAACGGTATAAAAAAGAAAAAGAAAATTGAAAAGAATGAATAAACTAATCAAAAAAGAGAAAGGATTCAATGGTAGATAAATCCTTTAAAGGTGGTAATAGTAATAATAGTAGTAGTAATAGTAGTAGTAAAATAGTAGTAGTAGTAGTAGTAGTAGTGATAATAGTTGAATCGGATTTATTGGAAAAAGGCGATTATCATCGTGTTATTTTCGTGAATTGATTAATTCAATCTACTTGGATGACCAACCAGCAACCCCCTAAACCCTTCCCATTTCCCTTTTCGATCTCGGTGATCTAACCGATAAGTGGCACTTGGGCATATAACGCCCGTGACGATCTAGTGCGTGAAATCTCAGCGCGTAATGACTCCTGATTGGAGGTGGAAGGTCCTGAGTTCCGTTCGAACACGCTCGAGGGACACCTAAATCGAGAGAGAGAGAGAGAGACAGAGACAGAGACAGAGACAGAGACAGAGAGAGAGAGACAGAGAGAGAGAGAAAGCATTTCCTGTATAATTGGAAGTACCATAATGACAAGGTGCACGCTACCTGTGCAAACGACTGCGTGACACTAAAAAGAAGAAAAAAAAACATAGAAAAATTATAAAGACGTGTGGGAGTCTTGTAACTGAATAAAAAGTTAAAAAAAGAAAAAGAAATAAAAATAAAAATAAAAATAAAAATAAAAATAAAAATTAGAGAAGAAAATAAAAATAAAAAAGAAAGGTATAGAAAGAAAGGAAATCGAAAAATAAAAAAAGAGGATACGAGGAAGAATCGGAGCACATTCGATGCAATTTTCAAAGTAAAAAGGAAGACAAAAAGTGGCCCTCGTAACGGCAACAACTCTTCGCGTTAAAGCGCTGGGACGTGGCAGGATTTAATTAAGGAGTAAGTGTCCTACCATATTCTCTATATCTCTCTTTCTCTTTTTTTTTTCTTTTTTTTTTTTACTTCTCTTTTATTATTATACCGATGACCCATTGTCGTTTTTTTTTTAATCTTTTTATTTAAGTATCCATAGTGTATAATTTATTTTCACGATGCACGGCGTTTCCGGTCGTGGTTGTACATTTATCTTCTTAATGATCTTTACAAATTTTTCATCGAGAAAAATTTAAATCCTTTATACATTCTTTTTTCTTTTTTTTTTATCTAAAGATAAAAAAAAAAAGAATGAAGAAAAATATAATCGTTATTTTATTTCAGATATTATTATCATTACGATTATTATCTTAAAACTTATCGGAAACTCATTTTATTCTGTTCAATATTTTTTTTTATTTAATTAAATATTTACTCAGTTAACTTGAAACGTTTTAGTTAGTTTTATATTTGGTATAGGGTGCACACGTGCATCCATTCGAGTTATGGAAAGTGACGATTCACCGAGATTATTATCGGAACAAGTATAGCAACTTTAGAGTCAAGATCTTGAAAGTAAATTTCGCATAGAGAAATAGAAGAAGAAAAGGGATGAAGAAGAAGAAGAAGAAGAAGAAGGGAAGGTGGAGTGGTGGGTGGTAGGCACGAGGAAAGGGAAAGGGGGTATAGAGACACGTAATGTAATTTGGAACACCGGTGTGCGTTATATAACTTTATGGAACGAATAAACTTTTAATAGCTTCGTGATATGCATGGTCCAATCGTAATTTCAAAATATTCCTATGCCGTTCGTTTTTTAAATGTTGGTATATGTATAGTGAATTTTCATACGTAATCTTTTTTTGATTTTTTTTACGAAAAATTGTTTGATATTCGAACGCCATTTGGCTCGTATTCTTAACCGTGGTTACACCATTCTATAAATTGTTTATGCATTTTATAAAATGTGATTTCTGGAATAATAATTCGTTGAAATAACATCGATGAGATTTTAGTGTCATCATTTTAATTTAATCGATTAAATTATTGGGACATATTTGTATCTCGTTGAATTTTCAAACGAATAATAATGATATTTATTAGTTTATATATATATATATATATTTATATTGTTAATTGTGATAATAAGAAGTGTCTTTGTATAAAATATCTTCTCGTGTGTGGTATATCTTTTTTATAAGAATAAATAATAAATTGATTATAACATTTTACGAAGGTAATTACGATATCGAAAAACATGAGAGAGAGAGATAGAGATAGATAGATAGATAGAGAGAAAGAGTATTCCCAATTTCTTTGGAATTTTATTCGATGCGCAATCCAAAAAACTGACGAAGCTCGTTATTTTTTCAATGAATTCAGATTCGAATCTAGTTTGCCTACTTATCACGCCAAAAAGTACGTAAGGAAGCAAAATGTACGTTTCGGTTTTTATCAGTGAAATTTTTTTTTCTTTTCTATCCTTTTTTTTTAATTCCTTTATCGAGAAGAACACGAAAATTTCTTATTGATAATGAAATATCCTGAAATCCTTTAATTAATCTTGTTATACTTGTATTCATTTTTTTTTTAAAGGAAATTATTATTAGGATTGGTAAAGCAATCGTTCTTGATTCGTTGTTATCGATTTTTCTATGTAAAGAATATTTTTGATAGAAATAATAACGATATCTCTTTTAATTAACGTGCAATCATCGATATTAATGAAATCGAAGGAAATTAGAGTAATGAAAGATTCAATTTTAAACTATTCTTAAACGTTTTTATCATCCAATTTTTTATAAGACATTTTAATTCGTTATCCAAGGTTTTTAATATTTTCAATATTTTTATTATTTTATCATTGTCTAGAAATTGTTTTTTTTTATTGTTCCAATTTGATTATTAAAAATTATGAAAGATATGTATAATATTAATAAAAAAGAAATGTTTATCAGTTCTTTTAAAAATTGGGTTTATAACAAGTGATTTATTTATTTGTTCAGAAATAAAATGGATACTTCACCTACTCTAAGTATCGGCGGATCAAGGGCCAGAACCGCGCTTTTGACTACGAGCGGCACCGGAAGTGGTAGTACCGATAGAAGGGTCGTTTTTTTAACGAGTCAAACAGTGGATGGCAATGGACACGAAACTAAAACTTGGCCGCATCATTGGTCACCCCATACAGTGAGTTTTTAATCAAAATTACAATCAAACAATATAAACATTATTTATATAAAATGTAGAACAATTAACAATAATAATTCAATTAGAAAAATTATTAATTTTAAGTTTAATTAATTATTATTTGTTTCATTAGATGATTATTGCAAATTTAGACAATTGTTAATAATTAATAATAATTGGTTAGAATGATTATAAATTATTTGATATATAACAAAGTTAGGAGAATAAATTTATCTTGAATTCGGTCAAAGTGCATTTCAAACAGATTAAGGTATCGACTATTATCGAATGTTTCGTGTACTCTAAAGGTGATAGGGGTTCCCTTTAACTATTGTGATTCACCCTTTGCCGATTAGATATCGTACTTGGCCGCAAATGCTCCGTAATTCTGAATTCTGCTCATCACCCGCACGTATTCCTACGACGCGTGCACATTTGAAGTGTTCTATATACATCAAATTCGCACGACTAGAGATTATATTACTGCATATGGCTTCAAGATACGTCTTACCAATGTTATTGCGAAATTACTAACGAAGAATATCAAATGTAATAAAAATTTTCAACTAATTTATCTTTAGATTAATCCTAGGATCAATATATTCAACACGTTTCGTGATTAGTTATTTTTTAAAATAATATGTCTTTTCAGTTTTATTTTTATCAAGTTAGAAATTGATCGTATCCTAAATTAATAATTAAAATTATAAAAAACATTGATTCCAATAATTATCGAAGCTTACGTAACCAAACATTTGATCAGGAAACAAGGTTTAAATTTTTTAGAAATAATTGTCTTAATGTTGAACGTGTTAAAAAAATCCAAAGATAGAATAGAAGAAAAGGGTTGCGTCACGATCATGAACGTGCGTGCGTTTATGGGTCCGTTTCCTGATGGGGGCCAACATAGAACAAGTAGAGTAAGGCACCATCATCAGAAAGCTTCGTACTTAGGTAACCCCGGTGGTAGAATTTGCATAGTTATTTGCCGTGCCGGATGAAAGTCGTTACAGGCTAGCTTCGAGAATTTCAAAGGCCAAAATTACCTTAGAACTGGCTCTCGTCTTCCTAGAGCATTGTGTTACTGTCATGATTTAAAGGATGGGCCTATAAACTGGCTTTACGCCTCGTAAACGCGTCTTATAATTTACCGTATTTCCAACGTGATTCATCATGTAGGAAGAAAATAAAAAAAAATAAAAAAATAAACAAATTCATATCATATACCATTCACAATGATAAAGTATAAAATAATACCCTTTTCATATCTGCAAAAGTTAGTTTTTTTTTTAAATCGAAGAAACTAAACATTTATTTTCTTTAATTATTTATGAAAATAATTAGAGTACGTACCAGACACAGAATGGATGAGTAACATCGTAACAATTTGAAAATGAAATTTATCATTTATTTAATTATACAATTGAATTAATTCTAGCATCAATCGTGAAATGGGAATGATATCTAGACAGCAAGGAAACCATGTAACCCATTTGATTCGTGAATATTTGAACATCCATCAAACTTGGAACATATCTATTTCTTATGTTATCACCTATCGTGGCACGCGAAACAAATCTATATTTTAAAGAAACGTAGTTATGAATTAGAATAGAACGTCGAACTTTATATCATGAACGAAAATAATATCAATCGATTGTAAAGTGTTTTTTTTTTCTTTTTCGAAAATACTTTTCAAATCCAATTGGAAATCAATCATAAAATGACATATCGAAATTTTAGTGCAGAAACTGCACTGCTGCTGTTCAGAGATACATTAAAGGCTCAGGACTTTTACCTTTCCCTTTCCCTTTCCCTATCTCTCTTTTTATTTTAATCCTTTTTTGTTTTTTTTTATTTCTTTCCTCGTTTTAATCGTCGGTCGTTGCCGTCGAAAGCCACACGAGAGTGAAAGAAAAAAAATATTTTGTTGGCTCCCGCGTACCAAGAGAAAGAGAGAGAGAGAGAGAGAGAGAGAGAGAGAGAGAGAGAGAGAGAGTGCAAAAGTTCACCGCACCGATTTCCTGCCACTGTAAATCAGGATCTTCCGATGACGTTTTTCCGTTCTCACGCACCCTCTCTCTCTCTCTTTCTTTCTGGAAACCGTCTACACTTTTCTGCCCAATGGTTCCACATATTTTCCGTGGTCCTCCCATCCTCTTATTCTTATTCTCTCAACCCTGTACTCCTAACTTTTCCATGACCCTTTCTACATCCCTCCACCCTCAACCCTCAACCCCTTCTTTCTCTTTCAATTGTATTCCTTTTCTTTTTCTATTTTACTTCTCTCTCTCTCTCTAACTCTTTCTATCTGTTTTGTTTTTTTCTCTCTTCTTTTCTTTTTTCTCTTTTTTTGCGTTTGGGTTCTTTTTCTATTTGAATCTCTCTCTTTTTCTCTCTCTTACTCTTTCTCTTTCTCTTTCTATGTCGCCGTTGGTAGCTCATATATATTCAGCTGCACGTTCGTTCGTATTCCAACGTCCATGGTTGGAAGAGAGCTATATCATAGCGTATCAACTGTTTTGTCAGTTTCCCGTAGCTACCCTGAATGAATGGGACTTGTTCCATTTCTTCGCCCTCTCTTTCAACCTTTGTCCATTTTCCTTTCCCCCCTTTCTTTTATTTTTCTTTCTTCTTTTTACTTTTTCTCTCTTCTTTACTCTATTCTCGAATTATCACCATTTCGTTTATGTGATCATAACTTTTCTAATATTTTTCTTACTACAATTTTAATATTATTTTCTGACAAATATTGTTTAATTCTTCTCAGAGTTGCTTCAACACGTTTTCAAGTATTTATTTTCTTTTACTAAAAAATCATGTCTCGTTCGAGATATTTTTTATTGGGTTGTCCGGAAAGTTTGTGCAGATTTTAACGAAAGATTGAAATGCAATGCATTTAAGTTTTTTCTTTTAGTATATATTCATTTAATTATTTATATAAGTGTCATTTTGTTTTACAACTTTTTTTCATCTTTAAAAGTAACCTAAAAATTTCGTTTTTCCTAAATTTTTTCAGGTTTTTTAGCAAAAGAACTTTATATGCCATCTACCGAAAATCGGCACGAACTTTCCTGATAACCTAATATGCAAATTAACGATACGTAAATAAAAATAAAGTATTTAATGAACAAATTATAAAAAAAAAAAAAATAAAAATAAAAAGAAATATAAGAAATAGAGGTATTACTTTAGAAGTTTAAGTTAAAGAATAATATCACGTGACACTGATTCCTCCATCTTTAAGGATAACCTAAAAATTTCGTTTTTCCAAACCTTTTCAGGTTTTTTTTAGCAAAAGAACTTTATGCCACTTAACAAAAATCGGTACGAACTTTTCAGATAATCTAATATGTAAATTAACGATGCATAAATAACAATGATTTGACATCAAAGTATTCAATGAACAAATTACAGAAAAAGAAACAAAGAAAAATAAGAAATAGAGGTATTCCTTTAGAAGTTTAAGTTAAAGAATAATACCGCGTGACACTGATAACTCTCGGATACGTTTCGATTACTTGAAAAAGGGAAGAAAAAGGAATACTAAGGGAAGAAAGGAAAGAAGGAAGGAGAGAAGGTCGTACGTGTTTTAGTTCTATCCACGTAGAAACGAGTAAAGGCGACGATCCGACTCGATCGTGGAACTCCGATTTCAAGCGTGATGTATGGCCTCCTATTTATTTGGATCCCGGATCGAACGGAAAGCCTTCCCTGTCTTTCCTACAACACATTGGTTAAAGGTTGGGTGGGTGGCTGTGTGCTATGGGAGAGGGGGAGGGGGGAGGGTAGGGTTGAAGAAGGAGACACAGACCTAAGAGTATATACGAAGTTGGAACTTGACAAGGAGATCGGAGACAAGGGTACTGAATTAGTGCCACTCGACTAGAACTAGCGAGATTGATGATTGCACGTACTTTCTATCTCTATCTCTTTCTATTTTCTCATTCCCTATTTCCTAACAGTAGTACACATGTTAGTATTGGAATCTTACGCATTACGAATTGATTATCGTAAAACTGATTGACAAGTTTCGACAAAGTTACGATGATATTAAATTTTGTTTTGAAATATCACGATTGTTTCAACAATTATTCTGATTATTATTTTTTAACTTAAAAAATATTTTCCCGAATATATTTTGTTTTATATTCTAAATTTGATATAATATTTAAATTGTATAGTATAATTTAGTATTTAAAAGGGTTGAAACGTAAAGATTTATTCGTGGAATACTAAAAAGCTACTTAAATAGAAAATATATAGTTGAAAGGGGGGGGGTGGTGGTGGGTATCGATCGATTGTAGGACTCATTCGTTGGAGGTTGAGTATATTCGTTCGTTCGTTCGTTCGTTCGTTCGTTGGTTCGTTGGTTCGTTCGTTTTTGGTGACGCGCATCCCAAGTATTTGGAGCATTTTGTCGAGATGTAAATAGGGAACGTTGTAGGTCTGGTTTGGGTCTTGTTGCGCAACAAACAACGCGGGCTGCATCGAGCACGAAATCGTGTAGTATCATAAATCAAGTACACGGTAGGTTAAATCTAGCACGTAAGAGAGGGAGAGAGGATTAATTGAAGCGAGCATATCAATGAAGTTGCGTGCAAGTTCGGCCTTGTATATCCAAATCGAACTTAACTATCAAGCTTTTCGTGACCCCTCTCAATGCCGGATTTCTCGGAGTAATAAGCTGTCCGGTATAAATGCAAAGATTGAAACACAGCACCTCTACCAGCCAGTTCATTGTATTCCAATGCACTACATCTCCCTGTACAACATTAAACACACACACCCTAGTGTATTAAACCTGCTTGTTCAAGGGTGGTTGTTCTTATCGTTTCCATCCGTTTTTCAAACCCCCATACCCACCCCTAACGAGTTTCCTTGTTTCGCTAAAACCGAGAGAAATCCAGGGTTCCTGTCGATAAACCATTGCTCTTATTCTGTCTTGAATTAATGATAAATATGATAACGTAATACTACGATGAAATATCAGTTATCCT